CACACACACACACACACACACAGGTTTGTTTTTGTGAAAAGTGGGGACTCTCCATAGGCGTAATGGTTTTTATACTGTACAGACCGTATATTCTATTGCCCTACACCAACCCTACCCCTAAACCTACCCCTCACAGGAGACTTTCTGCTATTTCAGATTTTCAATACACTCCATTCTGTGTGATTTATAAGCGTTTTGAAAAGTGGGGACATGGGGTAATGTCCTGAAAAGTCACCTTCTCCTTGTAATACCTGTCATACCTTTGTCATTATACACATTTATGTCCTCATTTGTCACAAAAACGCGCACACACACACACACACTCTCTCTCTCTCACACTCACACACACACACACACACACACACACACACACACTCACTGGACGCATTATTTACACCAGGAGAAGCTGAAGGAGAGCATGGAGGACATTAGGGTTTTACTATAGTACAGGTCCCAGAAGTCCTCGGTCTGTCCTAAAAACGAATGTAGTGACCCAGATCAGCCCGTCTAAAGTTACCCACAAACACCAGCGACACAAACCAGTTTAACCTCAAAAACAGCCTCTCTGACACAGAAAAACACTGAGGGCTTCAGGAAACCGTGTGGTTCTGGTAATCTGGATCATCTACAGTGTACTATTTCCAGCGATGCAGTGAGCTTATTTAAAGCCTGAACACACACTCAACACATGCTTTATAATCACACACATAACATACGAGCTTCAGAAGATCAGTGTTATACGGTCAAGGCTGCTGGAGATGTTATTGTAGTGCTCCACTAGTGCAAATCACTTACACAATAACCTTCACTAAATATCATTCACCTTCATTTATGTCTTGAGGATTTCTCAAAACACCTTGGAATCATTCGTTTCAATTTACTAAGCAGCCAATCATACGCCATCATTTTACAGGAAAATAAATACGAATTGTGATTTTATAGTTTAATTAATAACCTATTAATTCAATTAACATTTTAATAACCTAGTGTTTTTAGTGTAAAGAAAATGTAACATTGTTTTCCTTCATTTTAGTAACTTTACTGTGTTTTGTCATTTTTATGTCTATATAGGTTTTATTTATGATTTAATTATAGTTCTTTTAGCACTTAAACGTATAATAGTTTGGTGGCAGGACAAGTACAGAAAAAGCCTTACGGATGACATTTAAAATCTGCATTTTTGCTCAGCATGTGCAGAATTTTAGTTCAGACAAAACAAATATAGATTTCAGCACAAGCAGCAACAGAAAAGCCTCAGATATGAGAGATATTAGTCCTGACAACACAAGAAAGTCAGATGTGAGCGTTAAGCACAGTACTAGTTACCCAGAATCCTCCTCCAGCAGCGTCAGGAGACCTCTACTAGCTATACTAGTCTAACTATTCAACACATTCTCAGATCACCAGATCACACGCCTCAAACTCACACTAATCTAAAGTCAAAGCTAGAAGCAAACCATTTTTTTTAAAGTGTCACGTATTATCGTATTATATAAATATTATATGTATATCATTCTAATATGCCGATTATTAGAAACATTTCTGATTATCATCAATGCTGAACACAGTCGTGCTGCACAATATTTTTTATGTAAACTGCGATACATCTTATTTTTCAGGATTCACAGATGAACAGAAAGTTCACTTTTCTAATATTACAAGTCTTTATCATCACTTTTTATCAATTTAACACATCCTTGCTGAATAAAAGCATTTTTTTTTAATAAATACTGACCCCCAAACTTTTGAACAATCGTGTATATTGTTACAAAAGATTTCTATTTTGAATAAATGCTGTTCTTTTTAACTTTTTATTCATCAAAGAATCCTAAAAATAAAATGCATCACAGTTTCCACATTCAGCATTGATAATAATCAGAAATGTTTCTTGAGCAGCAGATCAGCATATTATACTGATTTCTGAAGATCATGTGACACTGAAGACTGGAGGAATGATGCTGAAAATACAGCTGCGCATCACAGGAATACATTACACTTTAACAGAGATTCACATAGAAAACAGCTGTTTTACATTCTAATAATATTTCAGTGCTTTTACTGCTTTTAATCGATATATGTTAATAAATGCAGCCTTGAGCAGAAGAGACTTCTTTAAAAATCTCATTGATCCCAGACTTTTGAACAGTTGTGTGTGTATATATATATATATACACATATACAGTATCTCACAGAAGTGAGTACACCTCTCACATTTTTGTAAATATTGTATTATATCTTTTCATGTGACAACACTGAAGAAATGACACTTTGCTACAATGTAAAGTAGTGAGTGTACAGCTTGTATAACAGTGTAAATTTGCTGTCCCCTCAAAATAACTCACACAGCCATTAATGTCTAAACCGCTGGCCACAAAAGTGAGTACACCCCTAAGTGAAAATGTCCAAATTGGGCCCAATTAGCCATTTTCTCTCCCCGGTGTCATGTGACTCATTAGTGTTACAAGGTCTCAGGTGTGAATGGGGAGCAGGTGTGTTACATTTGGTGTTATCGCTCTCACTCTCTCATACTGGTCACTGGAAGTTCAACATGGCACCTCATGGCAAAGAACTCTCTGAGGATCTGAAAAAAAGATTTGTTGCTCTACATAAAGATGGCGTAGGCTATAAGAAGATTGCCAAGACCCTGAAACTGAGCTGCAGCACGGTGGCCAAGACCATACAGCGGTTTAACAAGACAGGCCTCGCCATGGTCATTATTTTGAGGGGACAGCAAATGTACACTGTTATACAAGCTGTACACTCATATATACACACACAGCAGATTAGCAGATATTAAATCAGCCAGATGGGATTGTAATGTACATAATAACATCTTCCTCTCTCTCTAACACACACACACACACACTGTAACACACACACACACACACTGTAACACACACACACACACACTGTAACACACACTCGCGCACACACACACACACACACACTGTAACACACACACGCACACTCACACACACACTCACACACACACACACACACACTCACACACACTCACACTCACACTCACGCGCACGCGCACTCGCACTCACACACACACTCACACACACACACACACACACTCACACTCACACTCACACACACACACACTCACACTCACACTCACACTCACACACAC